AAGTAGGGACATCTCCTTTCCTTTCATGTGAGAATAAATATTGCGTCAAGGTGTTTGGGGTCAGGCTTAACATTGCAAAAGCAACCAGGGCAACTCACAGAGAGAAAATGGTGGACATGTACTGTACATATGAGGCTGTAAGATGGCAGCCGGGCAGAAAAAATGTCTAGGTGTGCTTTTCTGTTAAAAAGCAAAGCCTAGTTATTAAAGCAGGTACTTTTGTTTCCTTCCACCTCGAAAACAAGAATCACTGGAGAGCGTCACAGAGCCCTTGGAACAGGTCTGGATGGTTACGTGAATCACAGAGCCCTCAAGAGGCTCACCACAACCAGAAGGACTGCTGGGAGGGAGGGCCACCTTGCAGGGGACTGGGGGAAAGGGAGGAAAATACAAGGTTGGGTGGAAGAAAGTGGCACTGTGAACAAAAAATTGCTGGCTCTGGTGAGCTCACATCATTCAGTAACGTGAACGCTACACAGATTCAGTCCCAGGGTCCTTCAGTAAGTTGAGTGGAGTTGTGCTCCAGCTTTGAGCAGGAAGAAAGATGTAATTCAGAGTTTCACTGGATTATTTGAGGTTAGGAAAGGACAGACATCAGAGAGTATCAAAATGCTCCCAGATCCTCACTTTCCAGAGCATCCATTTAGCCAAGACAATCACAAACATTAGTACTGCCAAATCATGGCTAGATCTTGGCCTGATGCTACAAATGCCTTTAAAGAGAAAGAGTCCTTCAGGCACGGGCCCGTGTCTAAAAACAGAACTCCAGAAGCTTTGGAGTGTGCCCCAGTGCTGGGCTGGAGAGAGAGGCTGTAGGTCAGACTGGTTTGGTGGTACTGCTGTAAAACAGATGCTCAGTGTCCTCTGTGGTGGAGAGGGTTGAGTTAGTAGCCGTGGTTGGCTGACGGCGGCGGCTGTTCTTCCTCCTGTTCTTCAGGAAGAAGTAGCCGATAATCACCAGGACCACCATGATGCAGATCCCAAGGAGCACGGCAATCACTACCTCAAAGGCACCTGTGGGGGATAGGTGAAGGCAT